CCCTATCGACCCCCTCGGCCCGGTGTGAACGTCCTGACTGACACCCGCTGCTGCGAAGAAGCGGTTGAAGAGAAAGAAGGGTGTGTGCCACTGCGGCAGCACATCTTAGGTGTCTGTCTACGGTCTGCAGTTTTGGGTGTACACTATGGTGCTGTACGGTGCTCGCCGAGGGGGATGGTGCGGAGCATTCTGTTCTCGCGCGGGCGTCGGTGTGATGCGGTCGCCGAGTATAACTTAATGTTCCCGGTGATCGCGCGCTGCTCGCGGCGACTTTTCCGTGTCAGTGAAGCGGGTCGCCGCCGGCCGCGACCGCAGACCGCACGGCGGCGGCCGGGGCGAGGCGGGGTGGTCCTACCCCGCCCCACCACCCCGCCCCACCACCTCACGCCGTCGGCTTCCTTCCTCCTACCCCGGTTGGTGCCGCAATCGCATTGGTACCCGCCTCGGGGTATCGCGGCCGCCACCCCCCAGTAGTGCTGACCTACGGCAAGAAGGTAGGTGGTGGTGGTGTTGGAGGAGGAGGTGGTGGTAGTTGCACCTGTGGGTCACCAGGTCGGAACAACTCTGTCGAGCAGCAGCACCCCCTCTGCTTGTGCAGTGCACACCGTTCTCTTTGGTAGTGAGTAAGGGTGGCGTGGGCACATGACCCCTGCAGCAGGTCACAGCACAGGGCTGCAGCCAGCCTCTTTAGGGGCGGGGGGTGAGCGTTGGCGCCCCCTGTATTCCGTGCAGCCAGGAGGGGCTTCACCGGCGCGCGTGTTGCAGCGGGGTGAGGAGGTGAGGGGGTCTCGCCGGGCACCACCACCGAGTCCGCGCCGGCGGCGTGGCGCGCCGGGGTGGATTCCATTTGTGCACCAATGTATCACGGTCCTGGCTGCTCCGTGCTCGCTCCCGGGGGTGGCGGTGGTGAAAGCCGTGTCGTCCTCGCGGCCAGCGTCGCCGTCGTCGCGGTGGTGGTGGTGGCGCTGGCGGTGGTCCTGCCGCGGCACGTCGCTGCTCAGTATGCGTCCCGCACACAATCACCCCCAAACGAAGTCCCCTTCACCCCTGCTCGCCCCTCCCCCCCCCCTCCCCAACTCTTTCCTCCTGGACCCTTTGTGAAGCCGTGTGCGCGGCGCCCATCGTGCGTTGACGTCGCAGCGAGCGTGCGAGCAGCCGAGTGATGGTTCGAAATGCAGCCAGCTGAGCTACCGGATCCGGCGGCCGGAACCTTTTTACTCCTCGATGAGTCGTGACTCCGCAGCACCAGGCCGGGGCTGGAGAGCAGTTTCTCTCTTCCCCCGCGCGTTTCACACACACACGCGCGCGCGCTCTCACATACTCACACATTAAGTCCCTCATGAGCCCGGATGCCCGACTGTACCTGTGAGTAAAGGTGTAAACCCCGCACTCGGAGGGGAGATTCCTCCTCTGACTCAGCAGCAGCACGCGGATGCGCTACATGTGTGTGAGTGAGTGTGTGTGTGTGAGAGGGAGAGAGGGTCATTTATCTCAGACCTGCGACCCGCTGCTGCTGCTGCTGCTGCTGCTGTGCAAACGTTCGCGATGCTCGGCGTTTGTCGTGGCCTGGCGGGCGCATCGGTCACGACCCGGCGGCGGCGGCGGCCCTGACAAACACGTTAGTTAGGACCCCGGAACGCCCCCCCCCCCCCCTGCGCCCTGCTTGTCGTCCTATCCCAACAACCTCCTCCTCGTCGTCCTCATCGGCCTGTACCGTAAACTTCTTTTCTTGTTCCCTCTCCCCGCTCTGACGACACTCCCTTGCCGGTGGAGCATGTCCGCCGTGGAATGACTCGCGGGGGGGCGACCCAAACCTGGGCGTGGCGGGGCGTGGCTCGGATTGGACATGGGCGGCACGACGGATTGGCGGCGCTGGGACGACGACGACGATGACGATAAAGATGATGACGGTGATGATGATGATGATGATTGCGGGCTGCTGCCGCGAGGGCGGGCGGTTTGGGTCGTCCGGGATCGTCCTCGTTCATGCGAGAAAGCGCGGCCCCGGTCCGGATGGTGATTGTCGCGAGCGCGGCGGTGTTGTTATGCAGCGGTGTGTCGGGGGGGGGGGCGTCCAGGAGGCCAGCTTAGGCTGTGTGTGTGTGTGCGTGTGTGTGCGGGGGTGGGTGCGCTTGGGCCGGATGGAAATGAGCACCATTCACTCACACGCACTCGCCCCGCGCACATGTTGGTGGAGCTGGCGGGGTGGCACGCGTAAGTACGTTCGCTAATGGCGGCAGTGAATCCTCTCTGCTCCCACTTTGTGCCCGTTCCTCCCCAAGCCCCAC